CCTCTTGGGTCGGGGGGGGGGCCTGGGGCCCCTCCACAACTGTTCACTGAGCCAGGGGTGCTCAGGGGAACCCCCTAGTGTGCTCCCTGGCAGACCCAGAAGTGGACCAGAAGTACTTCTGATCCACTTCTGGGTTTGCTGCCAAGCACGCAGGGGGCCCCCCATGTGCTCGTGTGGGACGCTTCATGTGCCCCAGCATTGCAGCATTCACAAGCTGCACCTGGTACCTTGAGGTATGTAGAAAAAACATTTAAAGCTGTGTCTATGTCCGAATTGCTGATTCTCTGAATCAGCATCAAACCTTCAGATCTGGATTTGGCCGAATCAAATCAGGGCCAGTGATCCAAATCAACAAATAGAATCACTGTCCCTGATTCAGGTTGAATCCGAATTGAATAGGGCCCATTTTGCACACCCGTAGTATATACCCTTAAGTTCAAACAAAAGGGGAAAGTTTGAAAGTTGTCTAAAATCAACATTCAAAGACCAATGCTTTTTCAATTGATTTCCAGAGAGACTGAGATTCTTCCCATCCTAATTTCTCTTATTTCCTGGCTAATAGCAGAAAAAATTCAGTCAATATTAATAAATGAAGACATCCACTGCTGTATGTACATTGGAATTTTAAGAATAATTACACTGTATTTAGACCTGACTAGTTGTAAAGTGTATGGACCTGTGTTATGCAGGAATCAGACTAGGTGGTTCTAATGTTCCCTCTGGCCTTCAAACCTATAGAGAAATGGAAAATTAAATCTATTTTTGTTAAATATTCCAAAGTTTCAAACTTATTGCAACAAACCTATCCTCCTGTTTTGGTGCAATATTATCTTTTTTTGTTTTTTGATGCATGTTATCTGTTTTTGAAGTCTTTTATTTAGAAGAACCCTATATTTGGGTTAGGAACCCCAAAATTGTTATGGAAGGAGCTCATGTCTTTTTCCTGTTTTTTCTTTTCAAATTGTTATCAGTATTTTATGGAAAATGACATTTCTATAATTCTGACAGATTTTGTTGAGGAAAATACTATTTTTAACAAATGTATTTATATTTTCTGCTCAGTTATAATTTCTTTTTAATATTTATTTTAGCATGATTTGGGCAGGAACCCATTTTTGCCTTATTTTTCTGCATCTTGCTCAGTGCTGCCCTACCAGGGCTATGGGCACTGCTGCTACATAACTAGTTAATACACAGTGTTTGATAGGAAAATACTGACATTTTTCCAGATATCGTCTGATATCCCTATTGAGCTGCTGATATTCACTACTTGTTTTTTAAAAGGGGCATATTTTTCCAATGTGGGAAGCACTCTGGGATGGGGGTGGAAAACTTGAGTTACAGAACTCACAGGATTTGCTGCAAATTTACTTTGTTGGGGGTGGATTTATTTTCCAACTATTGTATGGGGAAATCAGCATGTCCACTTCACCAACCAGCCCTGGGTCTTGGGGATGTTCAAGAAGAAAGCAACATCTGCATGGTAGCTGCTGGTCTCTGTTCTGACACCTGGCTTCAGTAGATCCTTGACACTTCTATAAGAGTCAAGGTGCCAAAGCTCCCAAGCAATACATGTTCCTGAAGTTTTCAGCTGTTTCCAAGTAGTCAAAGGGGCAACAGGCTAACTTAAACCGATTGACTGTGCATCATCTTACCCTGTGCTGGTACATGGGAGTATAAGTAGTGCTGGGAGAGTATTCAAACAATTCAAAATATTCAGAAAGCACTAGCTACTGCCGAGGATGTGCTGCTTCTACTGAGTTTATACTCTGTGGCGATTCTGATGGATTGGATTTCCTTGGGTCATGCTGGAGCAGACTGTTGAGACAGTGTTCCCTGCTGGGCCAACAGATTCACATCTGTTAAAAGCAGTGGAGAGAAATCTGGGGAACCTGAATTCCATTCTTCATGTAAATGATCTTAATCTCTGGCACAGAAAAACAAATGTCTCTCTTTTTTCTGACAGATATAGTTATTGTCAAGCCAAGGACCTGGGCCCCAGATCAAGGGAGAGCTTCTATTTTAAAGCAGCTACAAGAAGAGGACAGTATTAAAGGTATTGTACTTCTGCAGTTGATTGCATGTTCTGTTCCTCTCATGTCATTTGCTGCTTTGACACTATGTAAGGATCTTAAATCATTAAGCCTTTTTTATTTTTAATCCCTCCTTGCTCTCCTTTAAAATTCATTAGTTCCCACTCTGCCCTCAAATGGTGCTTTGTGCAGTGCTGTAAAAGTGGGTGGAAGAAGAGGAAGGGTGGAGGTAGTTGAGATGGAAATCCACCCTCTGAAGAGCAAGTGGAGAAGACTGTCGTTTCAGTTTTGGCATAAGAAATCTGTGGTAACTAAGCCTCAGGTTTCAGTGAAGTTCAAGTCCCAGGTGGGAATATTTCCTTCTCTCAGCTTATTGGAAAACAGCTTACTCCAACTTTTCCCTGTTTGATTCCTCTCCAGAAGTCTCCATCTCTCTTCAGTTCTAGTTTCTCACCATTATCTCTTCTGAAGCTTCTTCATTTTACCCTGCTGGGCCTGGACATGTGTCCTCTGCTTGTGTGACTTCCTCCTGCAGCAAGGCCTGCAGAGTATGGGTTACAGAGTCTCTTAGTCAAGTGGCCTGTTCCTGCCCTTGTCTCAGACTACACTGTGATTGGGAGGTGTGACAGTAGCTTGTGCAAACACACCCCATGGTAGCCAGCTTGGGTACTAGGGAAGCTGCAGGAACCTGGGTGTCAGTAAAGTCTCTTCACTGGACTTGTACCTGTAGGTAGTGCTGAAAATGCAAAGCAGTGCTGCCAATGCTTTTGGTACCTGAACTAGCTAAAGCAAAGGGTACGTTCACCCATGATGCAGTCATATCTTTGTGTGCAATGTAGACATACCCTCAAAGTTGTGTCCTCCTTGTCCACTGTATGCCTAACCCACCCCAAATGAATTTAGCTAAATTTTGGGTCATGGAGCCCCACACTGAGGCTGAATTGATCCTAAGATGATTGCTCAGAAAAAAGAGTCCTATTTAATTAGTATGAGCACTGAAACACTTAGAAATGAGATGAAAAGATGCATTGGAGTAGGAGCGCTAACATTCCCAGCTGCTGTAATTTCATCCCAGCGGCTTCCTGCGTCACTTTAATCTGGGTGCTTGTTGCTGAATAATGGAATTTTTGAAGCACAACGGTGCATCAAATATTAAAGTACTTTCTGTTGTTTGCTTTCCTGAAATATTACTCTGTTCTATGCACCACTTTCCTTGTCTCAGTCCAGGTAGATTAAAACCTTAGCCAAGCACTCTTCTAAAAACAACTTGACAGTTAAATAGTTCTCTTGGTTCCCTGTATTATACATATTTTATATCGTGTTACTTATTTTTAGTCCTTCCCCTCTCATCTATTATTTTTGTGAAACATTGGCTGCATCTATATGTCATTGTACAGCAACGTGCTATGATGCTGTGCTTAATACTTCCTTTTGGAAGTACTAAAGCCTGGCACAGTACAGGGTATTACTGTGCCATGTGCAAGGGTAAATTTTGCAGCTATGTCACCATGGTGGTGCTCTATGCTGGGGAAGTGTGCTGCTAAGGCAGTGCAGCTGGCAATCACATCTAGACCCACGTGATTACTACATTGCCATAGGGCGACATGTAGATGCGTCTATTGTGTCTGATTTAGGTGTCGAAGCTGATGGTAACCCATATAAAAGTTTTCAAGTCCTCTATGGGAAGGATCCTTAACTGAGTTTATTTTGCACAGAAAGTTTGGATTCTGTTTGCCACTTATCTCTATTACTTATGTAAACTTAATAAAAATGAGTTAAAAGATTTGTTTATTATAGCTGAAACTGTTCCTGTTTAAACAGCCCAGGTTTCTGGTGTAATAGTGGATGGAATTTATTATTAAACATTTGAAGTGGCTAGACAGTAAAAGCAAACGTGAAATGTTCTTTTTCCAACTCCTCAGCATAAGTTTTGACAGAGTAGTTATTAAAAGGGGATAACTAAATCCAAAGCCAGTTTCTTAGAGCAGGCCTGCGGTAGTCATCCAGAAGCTAAACATTTCTGCTTCCAAACAGCTGCAGTTAGACACTAGTGAAAAATGTTCAACTGAAAGGAAAGCAACCCTCAGCTAAGCAGCTTTGGCTGTGTAAGGCATGGAAAGTTAGTCAAAGGACACACAAGTTGTGACACAAAAATAGGGGTAGCTGTGGAAAGCAGGGACAGTGTTTGACTTCTTAAGCCTGGAAGGGAATAATTGCCATTTCCAAAACTATTGTAAGAAAGAGATGAGGTCCTAATCCAGTCTTGCTCACAAAGTTTGTAACAGTTTGAGCTGTGACCTGATCAGGTCCTGAACTCTGCATTTCGGATCAGACAGTTCAAGTCAATCCCTGCCAATGTTCCTGTAAATGTGGTGCTTACCAGCAGGTAGTGCATGTCTGTCCTTGCTCTTGGGGAGTGGAAGTGAGTATAGAGGCCTCTACAAGCCTCTGACCACAAATGGCAGTAACTCTCCCAAGCACAGTGAGTGCATCCCTTGGGTTTCAGTTTCATAGTTTCTAGGGTCGGAAGG